ATATAAAACTGTTAACCTCTAATAAGAAACAAAGAACTCCTATAAGGAACATTAAAAATAATACACAGGCCTACTTCCAAATAAATTAAACACAGCACTTGGGGAGTCCTCTGCACATTTGAAGGAAACAAATATATAATCAAAATGTGCCCACTTTGAAATAAATAAAACATATAGCTGCACCCTAAAAAGAGTTAAAGGTAGGGTAGGTAAGAATGGAGAAACCAGCTCGAGTGCGCTAGAATTTGAAAATACACAACCGGAAAAAATCTGCCTCTTCCTTCAGATTTCCTTACAGAGCTCCTCNTTGCTGTTCTCACAGTCATGGCTTTTCTCCATGGAGATATTTTCTTGCCAGATACTTCTGGTAAGTTACCATTTTTACCACTTCCGGTTCCTTTGACAAAAAGCAATGCAATTTCTCCATAGGATTTTGGAAAATAGCTCCAAATAAGGTCTGTGGTTGACACAAATTGAAGAGACAGATCACGTTTTGTTCTACGACATTAAATACATCAGCAGTGACCCACTGGTGATTTCTGAAGAGTTTAAATGTCTGAAAAACGATGGTTGTTAACATGTGGCTGAATAAGACTACAGAAGTTGTCCAGGCCGTTTTACATCATTACACCGAACACGTAAACACTCCCGCTAAGTTTGTTTGCCCTGTTCTGCTTGAAAGCAAGTACCTGCGCTCTTGCAAACTGTTAAAACAAAAGCTTCAACTTGTACAATTTAGAATCTGTATTTTTGAATATGGATCTTAAGTCGGCGTGACGTTGAAGCAGCGACCCGGTTGTAGTTCGTTTATAGCATAACGTTAGCATTTTGCTTCTGGCGACTAGATTTATGATTAGAAAATTATAAAAGTAGGGTAGACATGTGGATATTATCCGGCTGAACAAAGCGTGATCCGTTTCTTAAAAGTGTGTCAACCACAGACCTTATTTCCAGCTATTTTACAAAATCCTATGGAGAAATTGCATTGCATTTTTGTCGAAGGAACCGGAAGGAGTTTACTTCCGGGTTTTAGGACGCGTCACTGCGGTTCTCTATACTGTTTCAGAAATAATTGATGTGGTTTGGAACATGATATGGTGTTTAATCACGGCAGCATTTAGTTGTATCTGCCGGTAGAATTCTGAGCAGGCACAAGCTCCCCCCCCTCTTTTTTTTTTTCAAGCTAAGGACCCAGAATCAGCATTTCTCTAACAGGGCTGAAATAGAGGGATATGAGGGATGTCTAAAATGCATGATCTGTTTAGTATTTTGAGCTAAACACATCATAGACATGTTTCTTTATATATTTCTATATATCTAAGGAGGCGTGTGGCGCAGTGGATAGAGCCTTGGTGTTGGGATCAGGGGGTCACAGGTTCAAACCCCACTGCAGTCAGCATGTTGTTGTGTCCCTGGGCAAGACACTTCACCCCAAATTGCTCCTGGTGGGATTGTCCACAGTATTGAGTATGTAAGTCGCTTTGGATAAAAACGTCTAACAAGTGACATGAAATGTAATCTAAGACCCACAATATGTGCCTAAAAATAGCATAATAGGAGACCTTTAAAACAGAGGCGCAGTTAGCAGGTCAGCTTTTGGAAATCATTTCAACACAAATGAAAACGTTTGTACTCATTTCACACTTACATTTCAACAATCTTGGGTGTGAGCAGCTTCAGAGGAATGGGCTTCTTCTTCTCTAAAACCAGCCGACTGTGGGCCGCAGGAACACCGCTGATGATCTCCAGGATCTCACTGTGGAGCTCCTGCAACAACACAAGTGTTATAAGTGAGAAAAAACTGACAATATGATATGTTGAGAGAAAAATTGAAAAAGATAGATCTTGCTATTTCAAAACAAGTATGACACCAACCTTCAAAGGCTCTGGTAACGCTTGGGCTGAAAGATGTTTGTAAAGCAGCGTCCTGATTGGTTGGAAGATGTGTGAGAAAGACATGAGGTCTTTGTAGAGCAGGCAGCAGCGCTTCACCAGGTCCAGGCAGGTAGACAGACACGTCAACCTGCAGAGAGACAAAAACATGGATCAACATCTCGGTTTTATTTGGTCTTTGTCTGGTGTTATTAGCCTCCTTAGCAACAGCGCTATCACACCCATAGCACTCTGCATAGCAAAGGCATTAGTGTGTTTTTTATTTGTAATGAGTTTGGTAAATGTGGGTTGTTCTTATATGTGTTTTATAAAAAATGTGACACAGCCGTGCTTTGAGCTTGCTTTCTGAATGTTACGATGCCCGAAACATGCTGATTTTACGTGTCATTTTTACCATGTCTGATCCGGATGTCATTACTTTTGCTTTTTTTGTTCATTTTGGAGAAATTAGTATACATTTAAATGTGATATGTTGGTTCTAGATGAAAGAGTACCATTAAATATTACAATGCATCATGAGGGGGCCATGAATGTACCAAACCATCATGGGAATCCATCCAGTAATTGTCGAGAAATGAAACCCTTAGCCTTGTAAAGGCAGAAATAAATCAAGGGATCGTGAAAACAGAGGATTATTCATCAGAAAAATAGATGTCTGTACAAAAAGCTTGTGCTAATCAATCTGGACCAAAGTGGTGGCACGACAAACAGACAGGCCAAAGATAACAAAAAAAATGTAATGAGCGAGAATCAGTGGGCTTAACAGAATGGAGAAAAAAAAGTTCACAGAAACACTGAGCAACCTGACGGCCAGATGAGATGCATAACAGTTAGAAGCTCCTTCTACCGTTTCTAGTAGAAGATCTATTCCAAAGTCTCTAAATAGATGTGTATTCATTTTATCACATTGACATTTACACAGTGAACACTCTGTTCTCCTCCACCCAGATGCTGCTATACCTTAGAAGTGTAAAACAAACACACACACACACACACACACACACACACACACACGGCCCC